GGGAAGACTACGATGGCCCTGGTTTGTTGTGGGATACTACTGAAACTAGTCTCTGGTTCGGAGACACCGACATTGCTCGCTTCTGGTCCATCCGAGCGGGCAGACAACTGGGACCTTATGGAGATCGATGCCATTCAGCCAGATCTATCTCTTCTTGCCAACCGAGAGTGGGAACTAGAACAGGATTATGTTTGCTTATTCCAACGTATAACGCCACCTGTCTCTGACATGATGGGGCTTATTGACTGTATACCACCGGAAGCATTGAGTTTAGTTCCTCCTCCCCAGCAACCAAGCCTGTTATCAGGGGACCTTGGTAATGTACCACATATGTCCCAACCAGCCCCAGAGATGGAAGACCTTATTGACTTGTCCTGGGAAGACACCCAGCTGGCAAGTGGAGATGGGACCGAGGTCTCTCTACAGGCCCTACAGGGATGCTGGGCAGTCGACCCAGATCCCCAGCGGCAGTATGCATCCCAGGGAGCTGAAGGTGACGTCCTTCCTCCCCAGCGGCAGTGTGTGTCCTTAGGAGAGGAGACAGTTGGTCCCTCTCCCCAGCAGTTCAGTGAGTTACAGGGAGATGAAGGTACCGTCCTTCCTCCCCAGCGGCAGTGTGTGTCCCAGGGAGCTGAAGGTGTCGTCCTTCCTCCCCAGCGGCAGTATGTTTCCCAGGGAGCGGAAGGTCTTGCCCTTCCTTTCCAGTGGCAGTGTGTGTACTTAGGAGAGGAGACAGTTGGTCCCTCTCCCCAGCCATCCAGTGAGTCCCAGGGAGCGGAAGGTGCAGTCCTTCCTCCCCAGCGGCAGTGTGTCCTGCAGGAAGCAGAGACAGTCGGTCTCGCTCCCCAGCAGCAGCACAATATATTAAAAGGGGAGACAGTTGGTCCCCCTCTTCAACAGCAGAGAGTGTTCCAGGGAGAGGAACCAGTTATCACCTCTCCCCAGCAACAGGACAAATTATTGAAAGGGGAGACAGTTGGTCTCCCCCTCCAACAGCAGAGAGAGTGTCAGGGAGAGGAGCTTGTTATCCCCTCTCCTCAGCAGCTGAAAGTATGTATGGGAGAGGAACTTGTTACCCCCTCTCCCCAGCGGCTAAAAGTATGTATGGGAGAGGAGCTTGTTACCTCCTCTACCCAGCAGCAGCTTAGCCCACCAAGGGGAGACAGTAATCTCCACAACAGTGCAGATAGGACCGTGGTCTCTGCACATGCACCACCGGGGGTAGGGACAGTCGGTCCTGTCCCCCAGCAGCAGGGCTGTTTAGCCAAAGGGGAGACAGTATGTCTCCCCCTCCAGCAGCAGCCCCAGACCTCAAGAGAGGAGCCTACCAACTCTTCTTTTCAGCGTGACTCCAATCAGGCTACTCCCGTGGTAGCGCTGGCACCAGGGCAGAGTACTGCAGGTCTCTGCCCACTCAGCAACCCACCAAGGCAGCCTGTCAGTACCCCACACAGCTGTTGTGAGGCACCTGGACATGGACGAACTAATCTTTTACCCAGTTGTAGTAACCATGTATTATGGGTGGGCTGTATTACGGTTTGTGCTTCGTGGGTGGGTTGCTGGACTAACCAGGGCCCTGACCGGCAGGAGATCAAATACCCTGTTAGTCTGTTTGGAAAAGGGGAGAAATGTGGCGGAACCAACCTCGCCACT